AATACTTGGCAAACGCGAAACATACATTTCGCTTCGGGAAGCGGGCACTCCCGTCATTAGAAGCCCCAGCGTACACGCTCACACAGGATGAGATTCGTCGAAACTTACTGTCAAAATAGATTTCTACACAGAATAAAGGTGACGCAACGCAAATGTTACCAGTAACCAGTGCGACTCCAGGGATAGCCGCCAGTGTAGGAGGAAATAAATCTTGCCTTTAACAGTCGGGGTTTGATTTCAACGGCAGATATAATTAACTTGTGTAAGCGTCATCATTTTCTATATTTCCTTGTTATTTTCGTTATGCCTCGTCCTGGAGTAAGGGATGTTAGTTGCCAGGATAAGAGCCCCACTGTCTGGGCTAAAACACTGGCTGCCATTATACGATACCGTTATCGTTGAATCTGGTATCCGGAAGTCTATATCCCTGTCAGCAAGTCAAGCGCTGTCGTCTACTGTTGTACTATTTTCAGAATACAGTGAATGCAGTATGATCCCCATGGAGCTGATAATACAAAATGATTATACGCTGATATGCGTACGTTCATCGGGTAAAAATAGAGCCTTCGTGCAATTAGTGAATGCACATTATTACTGTTATTATTATCAGTTGGTCTCAGAATGGCCACATACGGAGTGGTCACGGGGGCACGGGGGGCCCAGTCGTCTAAAGCGCCGCGATTCGCTGTGCAGAGTTGCGACCCTTGGACACGCCAGAAACCTATGATTGTGGGTTCGAATCCCGGTTCGCCCCGATTATGTTTCTAGGTTTGTCAGCACCATACCAGTGCTCGTGGGTTTCACCGAAGTGGTAAACGTCTTGAGACCTGCATCACTTCGGGCTTTCCTCCCACATTAAGCTGACACGCCGTGATATAACTGGAATAATGTTAAAAGCGGCGTTAAACCCAACTCACTCACTCGCTCAGAGTGGTCACAAATGTACTACTGGCTGATTGTACATGAACGCCGCACTCAGCAGTATTCCAGCCTTTTGACGGCGGTCTGTATATAATCGAGTCTGGACAACCCAGTGATTGATATCATGAGCATCGATCTACGCAATTGGGATCCGAGGACATGCATCAACCAAGTCAGCGAGCCTGACCACCCGATCCCGTGAGACGCCTCTTACGACAAGCGTTATCGCCATTTACGGTAAGCATGGGTTGCTGAAGACCTATTCTAACCTGGCCAGTAGCATCACTCCACGCAACTGGGATACGATGACACGCAACCATCGTCCCAAGCCACCGAACTAGACCCCCTATCCATTTAGCAGCTTCTAACGACAAGTGAGTGAGTGAGTGAGTATGGTTTTACGCCGCTTTTAGCAATATTCCAGCAATATCACGGCGGGGGACACCAGAAATGGGCTTCACACATTGTACCCAAGTCGGGAATCGAACCCGGATCTTCGGCGTGACGAGCGAACGCTTTAACCACTAGGCTACCCGACCGCCCCTGTAACGACAAGTATAGGTTGCATGGGATTATATTCTTTCCCAGAATCCCTGTGGGAAAAAAACATAAAACATGAGCTCAGAGAAGCTGGATTTGCTGGCAGTATTTCCCATTAATATATTTCTGACAGCTACGTGTTGTCTGTATTTTACAGACTCGTGGTTACAAGTACAATGTTTGTTTTAGATTGTTTAGATTGTATTACGCTGTTGATATTACAATGACCGGAATCAACATGGCGAACAATGACTTACATTGTCGACAGACAAACATGATCCCGTTTATCTGATCACAATGAGTCACTGCATTGAATTTGTCCTTTGAAGTGGAGTGTCATGGACGGACTGAGTGAGTTGGGTTTAACGCCGCTAGGAACAGTATTCTAGTTATATCACGGCCTGTCACCTTGATACAGTGATTGACATCATGAGCATCAATGACATGCAATCAACCAAGTCAGCGAGCCTGACCACCCGATCTCGTTAGTCGCCTCTTACGACAAGCATAGTCGCCTTTTACGGCAAGCATGGGTTGCGTAAGACCTATTCTCAACCGGATCTTCATGGGCCACCACTTTGGTGAAACCCACGAGCACGAGTAGACCTATTCTAAAGCCGGAATCGCGACGTCCTTTTCAGGGGTATGAGGATTAGGCAAAATGAGGATAAGGCAAAATGAGGATTAGGCATAGTGAGGATAAGGCATATTAATAGGACCACCTCTGTGGTCTAGTGGACAGTGTCTAAGCCCGGAAAGCGAAGGTCCGGGGCTCAATCCCTGGCAGCGTCATAACAAAATACGGTACTTGTTGTTACCCTGCCTGACGCTTGACATTAGGGGATATAACAAGGACAAGTCGACTCGGAGTATAATGTGTCTGTTAAACTGCGGCATGGTATCCCAGTAGGCTTTCACTCGTCCGGACTAGTACGCTATGAAAGTGAAATAATCTTGAACGCGGCCTTTAACCCAAAAGCGACGAAAACACCGATTAATCACTCTGGGAGGCAGAGGTAGTCATACAGTCAAGTTACTGTGTGCTTACGAAGACGAGTAATGTATGTATGCAGTCAAGAGTAATGTGCAAATTCGACATACAAAAATCACTTTTTTCTGCCTTCATTTTTGAAATTTTTCCCCTACTTCCAACTAATCACCCCTACCTAAAACTAATTGGAAAAAAATGTTGATATCCTGAAATTAATTTGTTTGTCACGCAAATCCTTCGCAATGATTTATATATCTGGTGGTTCGCCGGAGCTTTCGATTCACGCTGACTGCTCTTTCACTCAACTTTTTGGGGTACTTCCGACGGAGATGCCGTTCATTTTCAGCTAAATATGACGATTAAGGATGTTATTTATTGCCTTGAACTGAAAAACCCCGGGAAACTATATTCTTTCCGATGGAAAACTTGCAATACCTGCTTGTCCAATAGATTCCCCAGGTTTGGCAATTTTTATGACAAGCTTGTGCTGCTGTGGGTTGACCTGGGTTCAAACATGCTTATAGTAAGCGAACTGGGTTTAACACAGCATTGAACGTTATTTCAGTGACACAAGGAACAGTGCTTCAGTAATACCAGGAACAGTGGTTCATAAATACCAAGTTACACCAGGAACAGTGCTTCAGTTAAACCAGGAACACTGCTTCTGTTATACAAGGAACACCGCTTTAGTTATACCAAGAACAGTGCTTCAGTTATACCACGAATTGTGCTTCAGTTATACCAGAAACACTGCTTCACTTATACCAGGAACAGTGCATCAGTTATACCAGGAACACTGCTTCTGTTATACAAGGAACACCGCTTTAGTTATACCAAGAACAGTGCTTCAGTTATACCACGAATTGTGCTTCAGTTATACCAGGAACACTGCTTCAGTTATAACAGGAACATTGCATCAGTTATACCAGGAACACTGCTTCAGTTATACCAGGAACACTGCTTCAGTTATAACAGGAACAGTGCTTCAGTTATACCAGGAACATTGCGTCAGTTATAACAGGAACATTACATCAGTTATACCAGGAACACTGCGTCAGTTATACCAAGAACACTGCGTTAGTTATACGAGTAACACTGCTTCAGTTATAACAGGAACACTGCTTCAGTTATACCAGGAACACTGCTTCAGTTTTACCAGGAACAGTGCATCAGTTATACAAGGAACACAGCTTTAGTTACACCAGGAACACTGCTTCAGTTATACCAGGAACACTGCGTCAGTTATACCAAGAACACTGCGTTAGTTATACGAGTAACACTGCTTCAGTTTTACCAGGAACACTGCTTCAGTTATACCAGGAACAGTGCTTCAGTTATACCAGGAACACTGTTTCAGTTATACCAGGAACACTGCTTCAGTTATACCAGGAACAGTGCATCAGTTATACCAGGAACACTGCTTCAGTTACACAGGAACACTACTTCAGTTATACCAGGAACACAGCTTTAGTTTTACCAGGAACACTGCTTCAGTTATACCAGGAACAGTGCATCAGTTATACCAGGAACACTGCTTCAGTTACACAGGAACACTACTTCAGTTATACCAGGAACACAGCTTTAGTTTTACCAGGAACACTGCTTCAGTTATACCAGGTACACTGCTTCAGTTATACCAGGACCACTGCTTCAGTTACACAGGAACACTGCTTCAGTTATACGAGGAACACTGCGTCAGTTATAACAGGAACCAAGCTTTGGTTACACCAGGGACACTGCTTCAGTTATACCAGGAACACTGCTTTAGTTATACCAGGAACAGTGCATCAGTTATAACAGGAACACAGCTTCAGTTATAACAGTTACTGTGCTTCAGTTATACCAGGAACACTGCTTCAGTTATACCAGGAACACTGCTTCAGTTATACCAGGAACAGTGCATCAGTTATACCAGGAACACTGCGTCAGTTATACCAGGAACACTGCTTCAGTTATACAAGGAACACAGCTTTAGTTATACCAGGAACACTGTTTCAGTTAAACCAGGAACAGTGCATCAGTTAAACCAGGAACAGTGCATCAGTTATACCAGGAACACTGCATCAGTTATACCAGGAACACTGCTTCAGTTATACCAGGAACACTACTTCAGTTAAACCAGGAACAGTCCATCAGTTATACAAGGAACACAGCTTTAGTTACACCAGGAACACTGCTTCAGTTATACCAGGAACACTGCTTCAGTTATACCAAGAACACTGCTTCAGTTATACCAGGAACACTGCTTCAGTTATACCAGGTACACTGCTTCAGTTATACCAGTAACACTGCTTCAGTTAAACCAGGAACAGTGCATCAGTTATACCCGGAACACTGCTTCAGTTATACCAGGAACACTGCTTTAGTTATATCAGCTTTAAAGATGCAAGTCTTAGTTGCATACAATCATAACCTTGGAGCATTTGGGATTCAAACACAGAACAGGGTTGCAAATAACGGACTTGCACCATTTGAAGTCCCCATCAAAGCACCCATGCGTGCCTGGTGACTGGTGAGGCATCCAGTAAAGACAACACAACACAGTGAATGATCTAGCCAGCCTTTATTGCCACATAATCAACATTCATACGCAGATGACATCAAGTACAACTAACGTTCTCATAATATACAAACATAAACTTTGTTCATAGGACATCTGGATAACATTACAACATGAAGTGATGGCTACTCCAGGCAAGATAGTGTCATTTACAGCAAGTACAGTGTCATAGAGGCAATGCCATAGAGCTAAATCAGTGTAGAGTGTAGAGCTGGGACAATCACAAAGAGATTCAACTATGCCATAGTGCAGGGACAATGCCAGAGCTGGGACAATGCCTTAGATCTAGGACAATGCCTCAGAGCTGGGACAATGCCATAGAGCTTGGGTACAATGTCATAGAGCTGGGACAATGCCTCAGAGCTGGGACAGTGCCATAGAGCTTGGGTACAATGTCATGGAGCTGGGACAGTGCCATAGAGCTTGGGTACAATGTCATAGAGCTGGGACAATGCCTCAGAGCTGGGACAGTGCCATAGAGTTGGGTACAATGCCATAGTGCAGGGACAATGCCAGAGCTGGGACAGTGCCATAGAGCTTGGGTACAATGTCATAGAGCTGGGACAATGCCTCAGAGCTGGGACAGTGCCATAGAGCTTGGGTACAATGTCATAGAGCTGGGACAATGCCTCAGAGCTGGGACAGTGCCATAGAGCTTGGGTACAATGTCATAGAGCTGGGACAATGCCTCAGAGCTGGGACAGTGCCATAGAGCTTGGGTACAATGCCATAGTGCAGGGACAATGCCAGAGCTGGGACAATGCCTTAGATCTAGGACAGTGCCATAGAGCTGGGACAATGCCTTAGTGCAGGGACAATGTCAGAGCTGGGACAATGTCATAGAGCTAGGACAATGCCTTAGAGCTGGGGCAATGCCTTAGCGCTAGGACAATGTCTTTGAGCTGGGACAATGCCTTTGAGCTGACACTATCACAAAGAGTTAGAACAATGCCATTGAGGCAGGGCATCACCATAAAGCTAGGACAATGAATGAACCTCTCCCGCTATGTAGGAATTGTATAATAATGTAAATAACAAGCACTGTATATAATTCCCTCCTGAATCCTTAATATCACCTATTGATAAAGATACATCTCTTGTCAGAAAACAATCTTTGAACAAAGTATGATCATTTTGCAAGGATTCCACAATATGTATGCCATAAAAAACATGCTAACTTGGCCACAGAGATAAGTCCCTTCTCAAGGAGCTGCCCTTCCAGGAATGATGAATGTGGGGTGTATCATTGCTGTCATAAAACTGACTGGGGCATGCTCTAGTTCCCCCGACCCTCATCACAGAGGCATTCACCACAAACACCAGGAGCATTCGTCCTAAAACCACAGCCAGATAACCTCAGCTGGAAGGGACAAAATTCATACATCATAAACTGCCACGCCCACTTGATACCTCAAGGTCTATACCATTGCATGCACAAGTCAGGTGTTTCTCAACCAGATGAGATAAGTTCGTGTTGCTGGTACACTTCCAAGATGTTTTTCGTTAATCTAACTCAACTGCCTGGCATCGATCCCTCAATTTGTCCTGCTCTATGACGAGAAGAACATTAAACATTTACATCTTGAACTTACACATGATATAGGGCCCACATATTCCCTGCAGAGGTATATCAATACATAACACCAATGTTTACACTCCGATCACAAATATATTACTATATTATGCCCATACTTACAGAAACAGCTTCAACATGACAAAATAGGCCAGACCAACTTTAGATATTGTTTTCATAATTTTCTACACTGATGCCAAAACATTCCAAAAAGTTCAAAAGTGAGAACTGAAAAATTATGTAAAAAATGCTGTTTAAATGTTTCATATTGAAAAAATCCTTAATTAAAACAAAACAACATTAAAAATTAAAAATAAGGATATTAAATAAATTATTGTTTGTTTTTCAAAAGCTTAAAAAAAGGCCATTTGTGTAACAAATAGTAAGAGTGGTCTGGCCTGTACAGTCAGCATGGAAACAGATAAACAAATAAACAAATAAACAAATGACATCTACACTGAAGGTTTTTTCGTGCTGAATACATGGAAACATTCAATGGGACATTGAACGAGGAGGAAGAAGCAAAAATGATGAAAATAAGTGAAAATCAATTAAATTTGTTAATAAGACAAAAATAAAAACATATGCGCAAGCTTGTGATAATACTGCCAGCTATGTACAGAATTATGGTACACACATAGGGATGTCATCGTGCAATGGGATATTGATAATTTTTATAAACAATTTATGAATACTGATTCCAGATTCATAATTCACTGCCAGAGACATGTATACATTTGTTAACATCACCATGGTTACGATGGACAATGAGAGGGCAGAAACTTTAATCAAACATTTAATTAATCAGGCTAGTTTATATTTTACATGCGCTTGATTAATTGCAGGTCAAGATAGGTGTGAGTGAGTGGGTATGGTTTTATGCTGCTTTTAGCAATATTCCAGCAATATCATGGCAGGGGACACCAGAAATGGGCTTCACACATTAAACCCATGTCGGGAATCAACCCCGGATCTTCGGCGTGACAAGCGGACACATTAACAACTAGACTACCGGACCGCCACAGATAGGTGTGTGAGGGAGTCGGTTTCGTTTAACGCTGCTTTGAACAGTATTCCAGTTATACCACGGCGTGTCAGCTTGATGTGGGAGGAAATGGTCTAGATAGAAAAAGTTTTATCTATGCGAATACAGAATAGCTAACTGTGTTATTAATTGATACATATCAATATATTCTTGTACTTCGGAGTCAATATATTGATACTTAAGTTTCTAATCAATGACACCCCTATGTGCACAAGGACAGGTTGACAGAATGAAATCAGTATCACAATGAGCTTAATCATAACTTGATTAGCTATGGTAATATACAATGGTTGCAGGAATGTTATTAATATTTATCGTGCAATAGCTCCATAGTATATACATTCACTACTTTCACTATATTGTATAACAGCTATATTACCCACTTTCTATTCAGGTGAACTACCGTATTCGCCATGTTAAGTGTCCTGGTCCAACAGAGACCCCTAAACAACTTCAAGACCAATCTGAAGTAATCTACATAAGCCCCCTACTATAACCAAAAAAGGACACGCCATATTACAGATTTGTTTACAAAAAAAACAGAAAAACAAATGGGGTAGTAAAGTAAAATCTAGTCTCTGAAATGAACATATCTTACAGAAAAAAAAAAATGTTAAATTATCTTAATAAAAAATATAATAAAAAGGAGCCCAGAGACTCTTCATTTTCAGACTGTTACTGCAGTAATGTAGACTTTCCAAACATTATAGACTTGCATGGGCTGTATTTGATATATTTGTATCAGGGTCTGTAAGACAGACTAATGGGGTATATAACTGCCTAGTAAATATTATCATGATTATGAAAAATGTTTAATGTTCAGTGATGTTTGAACTAAGCGCGTTCGCTTCCATCAATCTCTGGAAACAAATTTAACTTGTGTGTAGTTTAAATACCCCCCCCCCCCCCCACCCCCCTCTTCCCAATTTAATTTTATCAGCAAAATTGGCACTTACGGTATGGCAAATACGGTACCCCAAATTTAATATTACACCATCACAGGTATGCAGTAAAGATCAACCACACTCTCCATCTACTCCATGATTATTATTCCTTCTCCAAGAAAGTCACACTAAACAATATACATAATAGCCATACCTGGCTGGAAATACAAAGTATGAAATAGCACAGCCTTGTCTTGAGGGAGTTCACTGTTCACAGGGGTGTCGCCAGCGGTAACGATGCAGCAACAGAAACACCAACATGGTCCAACATGGATCTCCTCATCCACACACAGAGTGAGTGAGTGGATCTTGTTAAGCGCGATCAGCAGTATTACTAAGACTGTACAGAATGGAATGTGGACTAGACATAGCAGTGGTCGACAGCATGAGCAAAGATCCAAGGTACTGGAAACACATTCAGGAATGTTAACTTAAACTTACATGTTTAACCCACATGACCCTGGGTGTACAACAGGTAATGGTTTGTTTGTTTGTTTGTTGTTTAACGTCACACTCAGCAATATTCCAGCTACATGACGATGGTCTGTAAATAATCGGGTTCGGACCAGATAATCCAGTGATTGATAACATCAATGCTCATGTTATCAATCACTGGACTGTCTGGTCCGAACCCAATAATTTACGAGATAAACCAGTGATTGATAACACGAGCACCCAACTACGTCATTGGGATCGATGACATGCCAACCTAATCGTACTCGTTTGGCGTCCTCTATGACATTAAAATATTCAGAGCAAGTAGTGACACAAGCCTTATCTTGATTTTGTCACAGGGCATTGATGAATTTGGAAAGAAAATAACTTCATTACAAAAGTTTCAGGATTTCTTTTCTGGGACTATTATTGTTCCTATTTATTCATGATATGACCTGAAAGCTTTGGTTATTCACTACCACTTTCTGTGCCAAAAACATTTTGAGTCTACCAGACTACATGGCTCTTAACATCATTTAGACTACATACACTGTTACTATAGTTAGTGAGTGAGTGAGTATGGTTTTACGCCGCTTTTAGCAATATTCCAGCAATATTACGGCGGCGGACCCCAGAAATGGGCTTCACACATTGTACCCAGGTCGGGAATCGACCCGGGTCTTCCCATTGTACATATGTCGGGAATCGAACCCGGGTCTTCTGCGTGACGAGCGAACGCTTTAACCACTAGGCTTCCCGACTGCCCCTGTTACTATAGACTATTATTAGCTAATCATTCCAGATCGAACTGATTATTACCAGACTCTGACTTTGGTGGTAAAATCGCAGACAGCTATTGCTCGACGCCTGACAACAAACTTGACTTGCTGCTTATTGTACAAAAAACGACCCATTCATCAAATATCCATGTACCCAGGGCTCCTATTACGATGAATGCTATGTGTCCATGTTGACGACACCCCTGGCCACAGTCCCAGTCAGTGGTACTGACTAGTGTGAAACCACCCACAGCCGTGGAACAGACAGCAACAAACTCACACCAATAATTACAGATCAATCCCTGCTGGAATGCAGGGTACGCCTATCAGGTATTTTAACTGTTTTAAGATGAAGTGGAAACGAGAAGGCACCAGAAACTGGTTTCATAAGCTGGTACCAATTAGGACGAAATCTATGTATCCACTAATTTGCCTAATATGTCGATGGGATGAACCACCTGTGTGAATACACTACTCCACTTTAATAGGTATACCCTTATCATCCATGATATTCCAAATGATGGTCCAAGGGCCTCCATGTCAATATCCCCATGTGTGCTTAATGTGGCACAGCTTCATGGGTACAGATCTGTTCACAAAATTGATATGCATTCGTACATCTTGGAGGCCATCAATTCTAACAATTCCACAATTCTATAGGAAATGGTTCTTAACGTAACATATGAATGTCTGTTCCACAGATTGGACAGTTTTTGATATTGTTTCTTCCGTGTCCCAACAACTAGAAATGGTCATAAAGTTAAAACACAGAAACCTAGTACTACTCCATATTCTGAGAGATCAGGTATACCAATCAAGCCAAGCAAGGTGGTAAGAGTTACCTCCCTTGGACATGCTGAAACTGCAATTCCTTGTTATCGAGAATATTTCAACTAGTTTGACATTAGAAAAACGTTTGGGAAGCAATTAGATATATTTATGACCAGATTGATAAGTTGAGGGACACAGAGGGAACATGGTGGATCATCTTGAAAATTAATCTTTCTTGAGTCGTTGACTGGTCATCCTGTAAATGATGCTGTCCACGCCTGGGTCCATGTACCACATGCCGTACACGATGGCGTACACAGCGATGGCCAGTACCACCATCATCCACAGGATGATGTTGAAGATGGCGGGATACTCCCGACTGTAGTCTTCGGCCAGGTTCAAGCTGTTTGACTTTGGCTTCTGAAAGTTTAATACCAGACATTAATACACGGGTAGTGTTGGTTTGTTTTTTGTTATACCAGCACTTAGCAATATTCCAGCTATATGACGACGGTCTGTAAATTATCAAGTCTAGACCAGACAATCCAGTGATTGATAGCATGAGCATTGATCAACGCAATTGGGATACAATGACATGCATCAACCCAGTCAGCAAGCCTGACCACCCGATCCCGTTAGTCGCCTCTTACGACAAGCACAGTCGCCTGTAACGGCAAGCATGGGTTGCGGAAGACCTATTCTAACCCGGATCTTCATGGGCCTACACAGGTACAATAAACTATGTTTATAACGAACACCCTTATAAGGAACTGACGGATATAACTGTTATTGGTCCCGTCCATTTGCTGCATATTTGCTGCACATTTGCTGCATATTTGCTGTATATATGCTTATAACAAACTGACGTCATAACGAAATAAAATTAGTGGTCTATTTAAGTTCATAGTTTACTGTATATGGTTGACCCTCACATGATTTATTTAGTCCAGCTCAGAGGCCAATCTTTGCCCCCAAGTGTGCAGCAACTGTCACTATAACATCCCAATGAAATGGGAATATAAACATTCTTAATTAACGTTCATATTTATAACTAATGTGATAATGTTTTGTTTGTTTGTCTGTTTGTTGTTTTACGCTGCACTCATCAATATTCCAGCTATATGACAGCGGTCTGTAAAGAGTCGAGTCTGGACAAGACAATCCAGTGATTGACATCATGATGTGCATCGATCCACGCAATTGGGACCAATGACATGCATCAACCAAGTCAGCGAGTCTGACCACCCGATCCCGTTAGTTGCCTTTTATGACATGCATAGTCGCCTTTTACGGCAAGCATGGGTTGCTGAAGACTTATTCTACCCTGGAATGTGATAATGTGACGGCTTGGTCAAGGTCACTTGTATTTGAATGAAAACAGGGCCAATTAGGAGGAAATGGTCTTATTTTACATTATTGCATTGAACACAAGATTAAGATACCCCTTGAATTAAGAAAACAAGAACTATGAAAGTATAACAGTTTTGAACTAAATAACAACGTCCCAATCTGCCTGGCTCTTAGTTTCGAATCCTGGATAACTCCCTGCCTCAATAATCATGTTAATCACAATTCAAGGAACTGAGCCAAAAGTGATTATCTATTTCATGGGATTCCATCATTTTTAACACAAACAACATGTCATCTTATCGCATACATATACTGACGTTAATCAATCGCATACAGTTTTGTAAAGACATGTTTAAAAGAACATGACAAACAACTCCCTAAATGCAGATTTGGGTAAAATCCTAATTCTCAACGTGTGTGTTTTGCTGCCCATCTGCTGCCAGTCAGCAGTGACACACCCTCGGCTTGTTTATGTTAACCTGTTAAATTGTCTATCTAGAATGACAACGGATTACCAGTAAATGTATCTGGTAATCAAATGCTAAATAAATGTCAAGCATCCTGGCAAGGACCCAACAGTTTTTCTAGTGTAGAGATTCCACTGTTTCAGATTGGGTTAATATTGTGAGAGAGTTTGTGCATCATTCTGCTGACAAACATCTTCCCGAGGCAAGTGAGTTAACTGACTATAAAAGTCCAATTTCCACCCTTGCCGAACTAGGATGGTATTATGGAGTTACATTTTGGCTGGGCTAACGAGTCTATGCATAGTCCAATCAAAATCGCGCAACGAAATCGAAATCAGGTTCGTAAACTGTCGTGCTGATTTCGGTTGACTGCAGGATTTGCAAAGCATGTGCACCACAAACTCGTTGTCAACAGATATTTTCCAAATCTTTTCATGATTTTAATCAAGGAGCTCACGTGATTTGATGCACTTCACGATGTAAGACTCGTTTTATCACAATATAGAACTTGATTATCGATCAGATAAGTCTTGATACGAAAGGTGGAATCTGATTGGTCCATAGGAAAGTGAGTGAGTGAGTGAGTGAGTTGGGTTTAACGCCGATTTTACCAGTATTCCAGTTATATCGCGGCGTGTGAGCTTAATGTGGGAGGAAAGCCCGAAGTGATGCAGGTCTCAAGACGTTTACCACTTCGGTGAAACCCACGAGCACGGATATGGTGCTGACAAACCTAGAAACATAATTGGGGCGAACTGGGATTCGAACCCACGATCATAGGTTTCTGGCGTGCCCAAGGGACGCAACTCTACACAGCAAATCGCGGTGCCTTAAACGACTGGGCCACCCGTGCCCCCTCCATAGGAAAGGTTTAGAAGGGTTATAACTCGGAATAACCACTGGTGGCGCTACGATCAAGCCCAGGAATTCCAGCCTAGTTCGGCAAGGGTGGAAACTGGAAACTGGACTTTTAAGTCAGTTTACTCCCTTGCCTCGGGAAGATGGCTGCAAAATGTGCAAGTGAGTATGGATTTACACAGTCTGTGACTTAAGCCAGCAGTCCAGAGCCTGAGTCTAGAGAAATTTTGTTTGGTCGAGTAAATTCAGCTAAACATAGTCCACATATAACAAATTGTTATATTTGGGATAACACTTTCTCAGAAGAGTGCAGATTCTAGTACCTTTTTAGTTTGAGTCTCATCCGGTATTCGAATCCACACGCCCAGAGTGAGGCATCTAATCGTCAGCGATCTAACCCACTCAGGTTTCCACAAATATGAAAGTCTGACAACTGGTAGTCTAGGTAACATACTTAGTGTACCCCTCTGACAAGTGTAAATTGGCAAGGCTCTCATGGCCGAAAGCTATGAATACACAATGCCACATAAATCACTCTACTCTACTGAAACCAGAAATCCACGCAATTGGGATGGATGACATGCATCAACCAAGTCAGCGATCCTGTTAGTCTCCCTTTTACGACAAGCATAGTCGCCTTTTACGGCAAGCATGGGTTGCTGAAGACCTATTCTCTCCCGGGTATTCACAGGTCCAGTGGCATGGTACCTCAGTGGTCTAGCACTATATAACTGGCATTAGTCCAGATTAGTACAAGCACACAGACACACGTACATGATTTCCAGTCTCTGCATAAATACAATCATCTCGAATGTGATGTTAAACCCTATTTCATGTAACGTATTATCTGTTAGAAAGTTGCTGTAATTTTCAGGTGGAGCAGCTTTCTGTGAGAAGCCCAGCATGACCAGGTAGTACCATAGAGGAATATTAAAACTGTGCAAGTCCATAAGCCAGACTAGGACTCTGAAAGGGCTCGGGTCAAAGTCTGTGACCTAACTCACGACATTTTGAACCTGCAGCCAAGGGAGACAACTCCGCAAAGCAGGCTGTCACATCTTAGACGTGTTGCCCATGCTCCGTTTGAGTGAGTAAGTGAGTGAGTGAGTGCGTGAGTGAGTGAGTGAGTGAGAAAAGTTCAGTGCCGCTTTTAACAGTATTCCAGTTATATCACGGCCTGTCAGCTTGATATGGGAGGAAAGCCCGAAGTGATGCAGGTCTCAGACGTTTACCACCTTGGTGAAACCCACGAGCACGGGTATGGTGCTGACAAACCTAGAAACATAATCGGGGCGAACCCAGATTCGAACCCACAATCATAGGTTTCTGGCGTGCCCAAGGGACGCAACTCTGCACAGCGAATCGCGTCGCCTTATCACGCCAACAAAAGCCACAAGCATGGGTATGGTGCTGACAAACCTAGAAAAATAATCGGGACGAACCAAAAATAAAAACCACAACCATAGGTTTCTGGAATGCCTAAGGGATGCAAATCTGCACAGCGAATTGTGGAACCTCAGACGAATGGGCTGTCCCTGTTCCGATTGACAGAACCATCGACTCCTGACAACTCTTAGAGATAAATCAAAACAAAGTCACAAACATTCTGCGGTAAGTTTGTGAAATATTTTTATCTGCTATTCATGACACAAGGCATACTTGTGTAAAGGTGTGTGTAGTTACTGAAAGTGAGCCATATCACTGGCTGATCAGGACAGCATGTGAAATTGTTTAGCTCTGACCTCAAAAACCAGAGGTTGACAGCATGAGGACTGTCCTAGGGATTTTTTTTGTGTGGTGCCACACACACGTGTGCAACAATCCACTTCCTCTTAACTGAGTGAGTGAGTGAGTGAGTGAGTGAGTGAGTGAGTGAGTGAGTGAGTGAGTGAGTATGGTTTTACACCACTTATAGTAATATTCCAGCAATATCACAGCAGGGGACACAAGAAAAGGGCTTCATACATTGTACCCATGTGGGGAATCGAACCCGGGTCTTCGATGTGGTGAGTGAACGCTTTAACCACTAGGCTACCCCACCGCCCCTCCTCTTTACTGGTTCAGTCATCAGTGAAATACAGGGGCGGTCGGATAGCCTAGTGGTTCAAGCGTTCGCTCGTCACGCCGAAGACCCGGGTTCCATTCCCGACATGGGTACAATGTGTGAAGCCCATTTCTGGTGTCCCCCGCCGTGATATTGCTGGAATATTGCTAAAAGCGGCGTAAAACCATACTCACTCACTCACTCACTCAGTGAAATACAAGTGACCTTGACCAAGCCATCATATTTGTCATAAATATTACCATTAACTTAAAAAATTCTTATTCCATTCTGGGCAGGTTTAGTGACATGTGCTGCAGATTTGTAGCTGGATATTGGCCTGTGAGCAGAAAACATGGCCCTGGGTACTGAGGGCTTATTTTGTCCTGGAATCCCCATGCTTTGACATAAATTTTCAGATGGACAAGGCTGCAGACCCCATATAAGGTTATCATAATTTTGTACATATTTTTTAGGAAGTCAGAAATGTCTTTTATTGTGTCAGTGTTTGTTGTCCAGTTTGTTGTACATGACGACAGCCTGTAAAAAATCAAGTCTGGACCAGACAATCCAGTGATTCACACCATGAGCATCCATCTCTGCAATAGGGATATGATGACATGCATCAACCAAGTCAGCGAGCCTGACCACCCAATCCCGTTGGTCCCTCTTACGACAAGCATAGTCACCTTTTACGGCAAGCGTGGGTTGCTGAAGATCTATTCTACCCCTGATCTTGACAAGCACTGAACAACATTTAAGGGGTGCTGTGCTGATGACTTACACTAGGGGCGGGGGTTGTAGCCATGAGGCTGCGGACCTTCCGGACGTGCCCCTTCTGTGGCGCCGCACTCAACACCTCCACCACAACATTGTCCTTGTACAGCGACTTGAAGTGGTCGGTCACCTGGAACACAAGCAGGCAACTGTTGTCATGGAAACTAGAACTCACACAGCAAATGGTGGTAAATATTTCACAGTTCAGGCACATCCATCTTAAATCTCTCTGATGAACATTAGCCTGATAGAACATGTGCTTAATGCCATCGATAAAGAGACCAGTCATACTATTTTGTTTTCTACACCATATCACCATAACCGTATTCAACATAATAAGCGCCCAGGGCGCTCTCAAATTAGAAATAGGGTTCTCTTATTATAATATAATTTTGGTGAAAAAAAAAACTGAGTTGAAAGATTGTAAATTTCTTGGTTTATGCTGACAGCCTGAAAGGATACAAAAGAAAAGTCTGTGCGTATTTAACACGACAGATATATTTTCCAGAATTTAATGATTAAGGATGCATAATACTGCATATAACACACGAATAAATAAGTCTTGTGTACATTGATTGGAAGGGGTGCTAATTGGGATTGTTCACTAGCCAATATATTAGCAAATTTCGCGGTGGGCGCTTATTAGAGAGGAGCTCTTATTACGTCGAAGACAGTATATGTTATTAAAATGCCCCCCATGGTTTATTCACCCTGCAGTGTTTTATTGTACGATAAACAACACCCACTCGTCGTTTATTTCTTAAATAGACAGACTAGTGTTAACATGAGTATACGTACGTGATCTACGAAGTCTGAGACCATCTTGGTGGCATCCTTGGTCTGTTCTGACTTGGGTCCGTGTTTATCTGCCACATTGCGGAGGCCGTAGATTGTGAAGGAGAACAGGTCTGGGGTCTTGTTCTTCACCATGCTGGGATTCTCAGTCATCTGCCGAGTCAAAGAGAGTCAGGTCAGGACTAGACTTAACTACTGTGAAACCTCACTGACACAAGTAACTCCACTAAAAGCCACAGGGCCTGTTCTGTTCTGGTGGTGTGTGGTGTTGTGGGAGCTCCAGATAACTTTTTGAGCAATTGAGTATTTACTCAAGTTTCTATTTAATTGGGTTATTACATTTTTCATTGGTTCACCAATATTTTTTCACTCATCTACTCATCTACTCATCACTCTATAGGGTATTTCCCAAAATTAGTGAACATCTTAAAATTTAAAAAAATATGAGATAATGTTTTAGATGTATATAACTATTCTAAAAACAGGCTTGACCCGGAAAGTAAATAAACTTGTAATTGTGTTTCGGAAATTAGCTCCTTTGTACACATCCTAAAAAAGCTTCATTGGGAATTTACGCGGGACGTTTTTATCCATTTGAGTTTTTCATTTCATGCATGCCTTTCTGTAGGCAAGTTAATTGAACATGTTGAAAGTAATTGGGTTTTGAATATTTTTGGGGGGTATTTTACGCAAATACGCAGCTGATCTGTAGGTCTGGTTGTGCGGTGTTGTGCAGTGCGGTGTTGTGCAGTGCGGTGTTGTGCAGTGCGGTGTGTAAAACCCACAAACAGTGATATGATAGTTTGTTTGTTGTTTAACGCCGCACTCAGCAATATTCCAGCTGTATTGACAGCGGTCTGTACATAATTGAGTCTGGACCAGAAATTCCAGTCAATGACATCATGAGCATCAATCCACACAATTGGAATACAATAACATGCATCAACCATGTCAGCAAGCCTGACCACCTGAACCCGTTTGTTGCCTCTTATGACATGCATAGTCGCCTTTTACGGCCAGAATGGGTTCCTGAAGACCTATTCTACCCTGGATCTTCAAGGATCTGATGAATTCAGACAAAGGATGCACCTGCACAGCAAATTCATGCTCCATTCCCAACCAAAACCACCCAACATAATACACCAAAGATAGCAATATGTGAGAAAGGATGAGGCAACACTCACAGTCTTCATAACATCAGCAATCATCTGCATCTCACTCATCAAGGACAGGTCAGATTTCAAGGTCATGTTCAATGAGCCAGACGGCAGTTTATGGATGATGGAGTCTGCGTCTAGGAGACGGTCACTGAGTTTGCGGATGGAATTTGGCAACTTCCTGAACAGCTGCTCTTCGGTCTTCAAGTCAAACATCTATTTTGGAAAGGAACACGATACAATCAATGCATGCATCAGGGAAAGATGTGGCTACAGAACAGTATTCCATGGATTTCTACAGGGTTTTACCTTGCAAGCCATATGCATTCCTGTAAAGTAATGAATGCTGTAGTGTGCTGTACATTTTGATAATTACTTAAAAGCCATGACCATGTGGACAGGGTAATGATTGATGGATGATATAACAGACACCCGTAACTGCTCTAAATGCACTGTAGGTACAATGGATATTATTGTTCGTCCCAAAGGACTCAGTATAATCTTTTTCTGTGTAAAATCTCAACATTTGTGCCTACTTGGTCAAAGACATAAAAATGTAAAAAGTATCTGACTGTTCAACACTGTTGAGTCTCCTAGCACGAACATGACGAACATCGCTATCAGTACATTTTAGTGTTATCATATGGACTTTTATTAGCTGAGCTTACTAGACTCATGCATGGGACTGTAATGATTTATGCTTATTATAGATTTCCTTCCTTCAAAAATTGATAGAGTAGTGAGTGAGTTGGGTTCAACGCTGCTTTTAACAGTATTCCAGGTATATCATGGCAGGTCAGCTTAATGTGGGAGGAAAGCCCGAAGTGATGCAGGTCTCAGAGGTTTACCACTTCGGTGAAAACCACGGGCACGGGTATGGTGCTGACAAACCTAGAAACATAATTGGGGCAAACCAGGATTCACTTGTGCCCTGTGCCCCCACTTGATGGAGTAAGGAAACTCTGACACTGGTTGCATTTCTTAACAGATAAATCTTACTTCCATGTTTCGATTTATCAAGTTTTAGTTATTCAACGTCCAAACTCTTTTGCATCCAATCGGACTCCAATCCTAAAGTTTATGGATATAAGCTGCCATGTCTTGCTTCTGGTTAAGCTAAATCTCTAAGTCAAACTGTGAGGTAAACTGTGGCATCTATGGCTCAGGTATTACTTTCAGATGATATCAATCTGCAGATATGTGCAGGTTGATACCATAAGTTGCGGAACTGAGAGGAAGTTGAATACTCTTCAGCTGGTATTTCAAATAACGACAATTCCTGTATGTGACCATTCTAAAGAGACGTGTCATGAGCAGCCAATCTCGGAGGCTTTGATTTACGCCTCCTTGGTTAAAGTGTTTGCTTGTCACCGCAAAGACCCAGGTTCGATTCCCCACATGGGTACAATGAGTGAAGCCCATTTCTTGTGTCCCCTGTTGTGATATTTCAGGAATATTGCTAAAAGCATTGTAAAACAAGACCCCCTCATTCACTCCAAGCTGGAGTAATCCGCAGTATCTATTATTAGCGTACATCCTCCATATAAGAGTTGTGGGCCACTTATGTGAAAAAACGTGACAGTCCAAACAAAGATTGTACAGGACCATACAGCGCTTAAAATTAGCGAGAACTTGTATCCGATTTTAATGAGATTGAGGTAATCAAGGCATGTGATTAATCATGTTTTGTTTATCTAAAGCAGTTATTGTTTATTGTTAAGCAAGTTTATCTCTGCAGTCGTTTAAATATGCAGCCATTCGCCGACTCGTCTCGCATCAAAACACGGGACTGTGTACTTGCGGGCAGATGACCACAGAGTACGCTGATCACTGTGTCAGATTAACAAGACTGATTTCATCAATTCCTTGCAAATTAGGTGTGTCGGAGTTGGAGTGCAAAACGGGCAAATTAACAGGTCCAAATAGCACTGATTTAATCGGTTCCCATCATTTGTGTCGGATAAAGCCAATTGTCGGATGAAAAAGTGTCGGATAATGAGACTTGACTGTACAATGGGCCAACCCAAACAAACCCATAAAATGGAACACAGGTCTTACATTGTTGTCTGCGTGTAGATCCAGCATGAGAGGGCTCTGGTCCAGGAACATTCCCTGCAAGGAGTTCATCACACCCTCCACGTCCGGGAAGGCAACATCCTGCAACAGAGGTAGCGAGGTGAATATACAGGCCACTCAGGGACGACACAATAAAACCTTTCAGTTACACAACATGTACAACGCATGGAATCTGTTCACCAGGTTTTTTTTTACAGGTAAACAAAGTTGGATACAAAAAGCTGTTTGTTCTTTAATACTGTGCTCCAGTGACATGATGACAGTCTGTAAACATGGTAAATAATCGAGTCTGGACCAGACATTGTTTGATTTTATGAGTGAGTATGGTTTTACGCCGCTTTTAGCAATATTCCAGCAATATCACGGCGGGGGACACCATGGACACCAGGAATTGGCTTCACACATTGTACCCATGTCGGGAATCGAACTCGGGTCTTCGGCGTGGCGAGCGAACGCTTTAACCACAAGGCTACCCGACCGCCCCGTTTGATTTTATGAGCAACAGAGTACGATGCCATGCAATCAAGCAAGTCATCGAGTCTGGCCTACCGAACCATTCTTCTCCTCATAAGAACATCTACAGGTCCGAATGGTGATAACACATAGCAATAGCACACCTCCAACATGTTTAAAATTCTACTAGCCCTTAGGATACCTTAACATTAACAAAATCAGTCAGGGTTGGCGGGCTGGTGCCAATTTCCGTCCCTGTGACAGCGTAGGTTGCAATGGTTACTGGGGACTTATTCTAACCCAGAATATTGCAGTTGGAATTGGCTATAACACTTCCAGTTGTGAATATGTTCAAGGGTGAAACAATCTTGTGAATAACAAAGTTGAGGCATAACACCTGTATCATTAGTGTCACCTGTTGGATAACGGGAAGAAAATTCTTAAGTGATCCAGGTTGAATACTCAATATTACTCATGAATATAGGCATCATAATGTGACAGGGAGAATTGGGAAATTCAATCTGTGAATCCTGGCCTAAATAAGGGAGGCAACTTAGCATGGTAAACTGCTGCGACTGAGACTACAGACTAAACACATGCTTTCTAGCTATATGTAGGTTTGAATGGGCTGTACAAACAATTATGACTTATGAATTATGAATTCTTCACTTACATCATCGACTGGGAACTTGGCCAGTTTCTTGAGAGGCAGTGGCTGATCGGGATGGGTTACAATTGTCATGAGAACATTGGCCTTGGGCCTCTTAAACATTGAGCCCTGTACCAGCCCCTTCCATCCGAGGTCCTGAAACAGAAATAATAAGTCATGTATCAGATATTGTTACCAAGAGCCTGCACCATAGGCATTGCAGGAACTTTCCTTGTAACCTGTATATAGTGAGTGAGTTTGGTTTTACGCCGCTTTAAGCAATATTCCAGCAATATCACGGCGGGGGACACCAGAAATGGGCTTCACACATTCTACCCATGTCGGGATTCGAACCCGGGTCTTCAATGTGACGAGCAAACGCTTTAACCACTAGGCTACCCGACCGCCCCGTAACCTGTATATAACTTTGCTCGTAACCTGTATATTATTGGTGAGGTGAAACAGGGTTTAATGTCGCGTTCAACATTATTTCGCTTATAATGACGTGCACGCATGAATGTGCGTCTGTGTGCACGTGTTTTTTGTGGCTGCTTGCACTAGTCCAGACCAATGTCACTTTTATCACGTTTATAGTGCTAGGCCACTGACATACCATGCCCCAGTTTAACACGAATACCCCACTCAGACACTGTATACTGGCTCCGAGTGGACCAGTTCTTGTTTTAGCCCCTAAATGCCGAGCGTCAGACAGGGTAACAACAAGTACCATCTTTTAACATCTTTTGGTATGACAGGACCGTGAATCAAACCACCGACTTTCAACTCCCCAGGCAAAGGCTATGTCAACTACACCACAAAGGTGGTCTCTTTATATATACTCACCATCAAAAGAAATGTGAACCATAGAAACACATAGAGAAGTATGTACCTAAACATGCTAAAGAAGAGATATTTCCGCTTAATGACAAAACTAAAAATCAGTCAAGTGTTACCATGGTTACCACAGAGGTTCTTTATTCTTATCACGATATGCTACACATGATTTCCAAACTTTACACACTAATCCTGCAAGAGACAAATAGTGCATCTCGAGCCATAGATCAGTGACGTCACATGTGATGCGTTCATGAGCGACGGTTCACACAACATAACACTTATCTGACATCTCTTGGATACGAGTAATTTTCACATATTAACCAACTTGGGCTATCAGCGTTTCTTTGTCAACATGACACAACTGGACATAAATTTTCAAAGTCATGTTAAAATAAACATGTTTAAAAGCCATATGGTCGAGCTTGAAAATGGAGCATGAGTGAGCATTGAGCTGTCGTTTACACCTGTCAGAAATAAATCCCTGCACATACAATTCTACTAGCCCTTGGGATACCTTTAACACAGACATAATGACTCGTAAATAGTGAATTTGCATCCATGTTAACATAGTTAAAGCATGTTGTTCCTGTGTGTTACACGCCACATGTCAACTGTTCCTATACTTACAGATTCTGTCTTCAGCCCAAGTGTGTGAGCAAGGACTTTAGGCACCTGACTGGTGTGGAGCTGGTCTGCTTGGTGTTGGAATGTCACATAACTCGGGGCATGTGTGATCACCAGCTCCTGGGCAGCCAGACTCACACTCAACACAGCTGAAACACAGGAACATCAGCATAATTGGTAGCAATGGATCAGCATGATTAGTGCTAATGGATTAGTGGATTGCACAGCATCGTTTTCTGAGCATGCTGAGTTGACTTATTTTCGACCAAATAGATTTAGTGTGCAAAATCTACTCATAATTCCGCTAGTCGATATTTTAGAGAGAAAAATAGACACATAACATACACATTTCTTTATTTTTTAAACATGTTAGGTTTTTTTCTCTGCAGCGATAGAAACTGACAGTTTTGGTGCACTAGTCCTTATAATAATAAAATATAGCAAACCCCCCCTAAATTGCAAATTTCTACAAGTCCTTAGGATACCTTAACTATTGGGCAGCTTGGCTAGGACTACAGGACTAGTGCCAATTTCTACCACTGCTCTGGTATACCTGTAAGACATGCAGTACACCCATTAATTTCTAACACTGAGATGAACATTTTGGTGACGTATATCAACACGGTGATATAGAGACCGATGCCAATTCCAAATGATAATTACCATGTAGTCATGAAATACATGTGTCTGAAATGATAATCACTGAACTTCCATTAATTGGAAGATGTTACTCCCAACTGTTTATGGATCGGATGGATTCCCCATCGTACACGGATTGCCAGCCACCCTGATCATGCTCATTGACAGGCCACAAAGTTGCGACTAAATTGGTCGCCATGGCGATCTAGTTTTGTATTTTGCGACTGGTATTTTCTTGTCAGTCGCCAACTGGCTCCTTGTCTTTAATTAAGTTTGGCGACTAAATATCTCTTGTCATTAGATATTAAAAAAGATCGTTTTTAATATAAGAGCGGTAGCTTCAGTGAAAAAAATCGATATCAGAGCATAATAACATCGACTAGATCACTGCCATGTGTACTGTTTTCGCTTTCGATATGAAGCTCCATACCTGGAATGAAGGAAGCACTTTCCGTTCTTAAGTAATGAACTAACGATGTTAAGAGTTTAGTACCCACGCATGCGCTGTACGACATCCGCCCAGGTGACAGCTGTGGCGGTCGTTTCGCCGTTCAAAAACACGAAGTATTTTTCCATATTTGCGCAAGTCAAAACAACAACAAATCGTTGTCAATCGGCAAATGATGTATACCGTATTTTCTTAAGTATAGTGCGCACCCCTCTCTAGCGGATTCAGAATTTTTTTGGGGAAAAAATTTGAAAAGATCTTCCAAGCGCAGAAAAAAAATTACACTGTAGATATATCTACCCCTTTAGCGAAGTCTGGCAAACGAACGGGTGATGAGAAACTTGGTCAGTACAAATTCGAGATTTGAGAGAAAAAATCACCAGACATGTTGATTTACCGTTTAAATTGTATTTTTTGTTCTGCTAGGCATTGATTTATATCCAGGATATACCATGTGTATCTTCTCGTAAACTAAGCCGGACACAGCAATCAGCTGTACACACATTTTCTTGGAATTTAACGGTGATTCAGTCAAGACACACCCAGTGATATAACTTTACAGGGTTTTAATGCAAGGATCAGAAAAAATTGTACCAGAAACTATTTTTTTATCAGGAATAATATATTCCAATATCTTGTTAATTTAGATGCAGCTTTTACTAAACATATTTGAAATAATAATAACCCTAAGCGAAGCATGGTTTTACATGGAACCAGTCTGACCAGTCACCGTCAAGGCTCCCGCGCATGTGATCGCATGATCGCGAGAATTACGTGTTGACATAGAATCGTCCAACAAAAACAAATATGACTTTTAACGAGTCAAAGTATGGCATTTATGACATATGTATCCATTCTCTGTCAACTAAAGTTCGTTTCCAAGGCGTCAATAGCGGTAATCTGACCGTGGTTTCTGTCAATAACGGTGAGTTGTGCGATCTTCCAATCGCTTCACACACGATCTCGCCGAAATTAATTAAAACAATATTAAAAGTAATTTTGAATAAAATTAATGAAATAAGTTACAAACATAAGTCCAGATATACAAAGAACACTTTTTATAGTCAGACAGTGTAATTACATGATTAATTTGCGTACTTCAGTATGGATTTGTTGACATGGTATTTCCGGTGTTACGTGCTCACGGTAATGTCTTTCCATGGGGGAAAAACATCAAAACTCATTATTTCGTGTATAATGCGCACCCCCTTCTACACAGCTGTAGGTTTTTTTTGAAGATAATGTGCAGTATACTCAAGAAAATACGGAATGCTTTGAATGGCGAAGCTGACACGGAAGTTTCATCGTCTGTCGACACGTTCGATGAACCAAAACCTGCAACTGGCACCGGTAAACTGTCAGATGATGTTACTGACACAATGTTCTAAAGCTTGTTTGTCTGAAAAACTCAAAAGCTTCAACAACAGTCGTTGTTCATGATATAAAACTGATTATTCAAACTAATGGATTTTTGTGTGTTTTGTTATGCAGAAGCTCAGTTAAATTACAAGTCATTACTTTTGGCTCCTTACATTTTGCCTTGGCTCCTTGAAATTCTATTTGGCTCCTTGAAAAAAAGATTTAGGAGCCAAGTAGCTCCTTTGAATTTTTTTTAACTTTGTGGCCTGATTGAACTCCTCATTACATACTGGGGCAGTCGGGTAGTCTAGTGGTTAAAGCGTTCGTTCTTCACGCTGAAGACCCTAGTTCGATCCCCGACATGGTTACAATGTGTGAAGCCCATTACTGTGTCCCAAGCCGTGATATTGCTGGAATATTGCTAAAAGCGGCATAAAACCATACTCACTCGCTCATTAAATACTGTTAATATTTATGACCTAATCAGCATGATCAGCATGATCAGGGTTCAGATTGAACTCGAGAACAGAGAGGAATGTCTAGAGTTAGTTCAGTTTAGGTAAGATGCTACGGGGATTCAACACTGCATAACCTACCACTATGTGGTGACCTGGTACATCATGTACATAGAACTTCTTGTATGTATAAAACCCATACTATTATATATACCACAAATTATTGACTCTCACAGGATTCCTATGTTATATCTTCCAACAGTACATGGATCCTTTGCACAGATGAATATGTACATTAATATTATAATCAGTATACAATTTTACAACAGGATACTGATAGATCACAGAAGGTATGTAGTTATATCAAATGACCATATGTAAGATCATTCTGGAAGGAATTTCAAAAACCTTGTATTCTTATATCTGTATGTTAACAAAAACAAATATCTCAAGGAAACAGATATTATCCAAAAACACTAAAATGCTAAAAAGATAGATAAATGTGCCGTATTCTAAATGAAATGGGCACTTACAAATTTACACATCGTGTTTGATGAAACTATTCGACATAGTTAGGCATACTAGTCACTACATGCCCGTGTGATCCAAGTCAATAACAGTGACATGGTCATATCCTTGTGATCATGTGTGCAGATTTTGTGACGGCTGGCCAATCGAGTAAAATTGTCCAGTTTGTTCAGCAGGGATATCTTCGTCGATAGTAGGATATAAATGAAAAATTCACAGAGTATCAATTTTCGTAGTGTTATGTAAACATTCTAACTTGAAACCAACTTACCACAGAAAACTAAAACACTGAACCGGGTCATCACGGACGTCCTCCAGAGCTTCAATGTCGCCATTTTTGTTGATCATGTGATAATCAAAGGGAGGTAATCCGGTAACAACTCAAGATTCGCTGCCCCATAAAAATAAACTTTAATTCAACAATTATTTTAAGGTTTCAGCATGTAGTTTGTCACAACATTCACTAATCATTATAGAAACATTAAAAGCGATGCGATTCAAGACCTTTTTTTCATGAGTACTATTGAGCATATATGGATTTCATGTTCCGTAAACTCGCTGTGCGCTCACATAACGTCAGGCCTTAGACCCGGAAGTATTTGACCTACTTAGCGCATAGCTGGAGGTAAAGGGCGTCACACCTGTCGATCAAGCCGGTAGCAGGACGGACGACATCGCACTTATTTACCTGTCGCACATATCCACAATTGCTAAAATGTGTAACTGTTGGTCACAATGGCTGCTGAGGCTAATAGTTAGTGAGTGAGTTGGGTTTAACGCCGCTTTTAACAGTATTCCAGTTATATCACGGCGTGTCAGCTTAACGTGGGAGGAAAGCCCGAAGTGATGCAGGTCTCAGACGTTTACCACTTCGGTGAACTCACGAGCACGGGTATGGTGCTTACAAACCTAGAAACATAATCGGAGGGAACCGGGATTCGAACCCACAAGCATAGGCTTCTGGCGTGCCCAAGGGACGCAACTCTGCACGAATCGACAAGGCCCCCACTGAGGCTAATAGACAAAGGATTGCTTCCTCTATCGACCACAGGCTGCTCAGGCTCGATTAGTTACCATGGTTACAGACCGATGTGATGTAGCTGCCACGGTGTTGACTTCCGTATAAGACCATGTTGATTCTCAAAATGCACGAATTCCATACACAAAACCCAATGAATCCACAAACTCTATTGGTCTCTTCTTCACATTCTCTGGGCGGTCGGGTAGCCCTGTGGTTAAAGCGTTCGCTCGTCGACCCGAAGACCCGGGTTCGATTCCCCACATGGGTACGAGACTACACCCGTAGTCTAGTGGTAAAGCTTCCGCCCGGAGAGCGGAAGGTCCGGGGTTCGATCCCCGGCCGCGTCATACCAATAGACGTTAAAAGATGGTACTTGTCGTTACCCTGTCTGGCACTCGGCATTAAGGGGCTAAAACAAGGACTGGTCGGATCGGAGACAGTACACTGTGTCTGACTAGTGAGTGGGGTATCCATGTTAAACTGCGGCATGGTATCTCAGTCGGCTAGCACTATAAATCAGTCCTGACTAGTACAAACAGCCTCACGCGCGCGCACGCACACACACACACACACGCACACACACACACACACACACACACACACATGTTGGCACGTCGCTATACAAGTGCAATAATCTTGGACGCGACGTTAAATCCCATCTCACATCACATCACCACAATGTCATGGGTACAATGTGTGAAGCCTATTTCTGGTGTCCCCTGCTGTGATATTTTTGAATATTGCTAAAAGCGGCGTAAAACCTCACTCACTCTATATACTGACTGATGCCGATTTATAGTGCTGGCCCACTGAGATACCATGCGGCAGATTAACATGAATACCCCACTCAGGCACAGTATACTGAGTCCGAGCCGACCAGCACTGGTTTTAGCCCATTAAAATGCCGAGCGCCAGACAGGTTGACAACAAGTACCATCTTTTAACGTCATTTGGTATGACGCGGCAGGGGATCGAACCCTGGACCTTCGGCTCTATCACTAGAACACAGAGGCGGTCAATTTTGGGACAGAGCCTAATTGGAGGCCCGGGTGTAACAGAGGAATGAGGTAATATGAAAATACAAACATCATATGAGAACTCCATGAACTCGATCACTACAAACCAGTTGGCTGTAGTGTGAGCACCTACATGCGACTTGAGTGCGACTGTATATACCAACTCATACAGGGTACTTCTTGGAATTTCTCGATCCAAAGGATAAGTTTTGTTAGCACTTGGAGTCATCCAAACTCCATCCCTTTTTCCACCCACAGATCCTCTGTGAAGTACATTTTTTTTATTAACAACAAAAGAAACCAAAGGTATTAACACGGTTCAGGTTATGGCATACCAAGCGTAAACGTCTTATAAAGCTATAACCATCATCAACAAACCTACAAACTTACCCAGACCTACGACCCGTGAAGATCCGGGGTAGAATAGGCCTTCAGCAACCCATGTCGGGAATCGAACCCGGGTGTTCGGCGTGACAAGCGAACACTTTAACCTCTTGGCTACTCGACCGCCCCCAGGGAAATACAAGGTCACATTCAGCTGTGCATGTGTTCATTACGGCAAACAACGTTAATATTTTGCCATGAGCAGGCAGGTCCCAAGATACTGGACATCACCTCTGTTGAATCATCTAACCGACAAATCCGACCTCGTGACACATTATTGCAGGGCGTCAGCTTTGAGAAAATTACATGGAGGCCTGGGGACATGGGGATTAGATGTAAGATGTAAGATGTAAACAAAATTTAAATTTGAAAAATAAACTATAACTTTGACTCACATATGTTTAATGGTATGTTTACATACGGAATAGATAAATAATTATGAGAATATTCTTTAAAACAAACCTAACTTACAATATTACACTAAAACGTTTGTGTTTTTTTGCGGAATATGATCGGAGGGAGAACATTATATGGGGGATGAGTAAACATTGGAAAGTGAGTGAGTGAGTGAGTGAGTGAGTTGGGTTTAACTGTAATCCAGTTATATCACGGCGTGTAAGCTTAATGTGGGAGGAAAGCCCGAATTGATGCAGGTCTCAGACGTTTACCACTTCGGTGACACCTACGAGCACGGGTACTGTACTGACAAACCTAGAAACATAATCGGGGCGAACCGGGATTCGATCCCACAATCATAGGTTTCTGGCGTGCCCAAGGGACGCAACTCTGCACAGCGAATCGCGGCGCCCTAGACGACTGGACCACCCATGCCCCCAAACGTTGGAAAGATGTAAACAAACTCTTAAAAGAAACTTTATCTTTGTCTCACACATGTATAAGGCTATGTGAGCATATGAATTACAAATATATATGTGAGAATATTTTTTTATAACAAAAATAACTGTAAAAACGTTCACGTTTGTCCGGGACAATGATGGAAAGGAGATAAGGTAGGACAGCGTGAATAATTGACGTGTCAGACTACAGGACTAAACATACAACATGCTTAACATTTGGGAGGTAACTCTTTCAGGGAAATATAGTTCATGGTTATATGAAACTTAAATTTTCTCAATATCTGCATGTTTCCACTGATTGCACCAGGCGTCGTGCCATATTTGTTATGTGTTTGAGAAAATTACATGGGGGCATTGGGATGAGTAATCTTTGAAAACATGCAACCAAACTTTTAAAGAAACTTTATCTTTGTCTCACATATGTATAATGATATGCGTACATACGAAATACATAAATATTTAACTGTAAATTCTTACTATAAACATGGTTATGTTATTCGACAATGATCATAAGAGGGAGATATGTTCTGTACTAGACTGGTTTACCTGCCCTAGAGAAGTAAGGTTCATGGTTAACAATAACAATGGCTGTTGTGCGACATTTGCATTCTATAGTTCTTCTCTTTGTACTTTAATCTATTTCCTTAGTGATCATTTCGAGAATTAAAGAAACATTGTTCAAGTTATGCTTTGCGACGTTGACTTTCTAAAGGGAAGTTACTCTTCCAACCATACGAATTGAATCACCCATAAAATCCTAATGTGGCCGACCGACTCATTGTCCCCTACAAAATGTATTAATTCAATGTCAAGTCATGAGTTAGAGTGAGTGAGTGAGTGAGTGAGTGAGTGAGTGAGTATGGCTTCACGCCGCTTTTAGCAATATTCCAGCATTATCACGGCGGGGGACACCAGAAATGGGCTTCACACATTGTACCTATTCTGAGTTAGAGATTAACAGGGCAATTCGCACATGCCTGGTAATTGCTCATTTGAGTAGTAACGGCTTAGTCAGTATTGCCTTTAGAACCATAGTGACTGCTATTGTACTTAAGAAGTCAAATTTACTATGTAACATGTCTCTGGGGCCAAAGAAATATATCCAGATAACCGGGTTGTCTTCGTAGGTTTTTCACTGTGTTGTTATTACATTTCTGTATACAGAAACGTACCCGGGTACATTTCTGTAGTAGTACCTGTGCCGACAACGACCCCTTCAGCCCTAGTAGATGACAGCAGTTTGTTGATATTTTGATTCATAATGGTCAAATAGCTGTTGATAGACTAACACGGTAGACTTGGTGCCAAGCTATCAACATTCACGAAGTTTATTTATTTTAATATTGGACACAGGATCAGCTTGTCGGGGTAAGTTTCCTTTTCCTTGTATTTTTAATTATTTTTGTTTTTATTTCAAAACCTCTCCGAGTTCAGCAAAGTGCATCGATTTCGCGAGCAGATGTTGGTAATCATGTAGCTAAGGTGACGCTCTGTGATACCCTTGATCCCCTTCATAGTAGACAGTTCGAATTCTGAAGCGTCTGATTTGCGTGCCAAAATTATAAATTTGAAAAGAATAATGTTTAGTTCCACCTTTCCTGTGTCATTTAACCCTCAGCCTGCACACCGCTCAGTGCCGCACTGTGCTGACGTCGCGGTTACAAAAACGTATACATTGTATTTAAAAAAGTGTCACAACGTTCTTATTTCTTCACACATTACACAATTCTACGAAATTATCTAGATCTTTATATAGCCTTTCGAAATGTCTTAAAGTTGATGCTAAATGAGTTTGTTTTCATTCCGAAGTTTAGTCTTTTTCTTTGTGTTTTCATTTTCACTTGCAGTTAAGATTCTTAACGATGTCATCGTCGTTCACAAAAGCAAACCTGTCTGTACTTAGTCCGGTTTTTGGATTCTGGTGGTCGAAAAATTCGTCAAACAGCAAGTCGCACACAGACGCAAACCCGGACTTGGTGGCAACACTCGCAATCTGAATCTTGGAACTTCAATCTGGCCATATGCAGTTTTTACAACAAAGAAATTGAATGTGTTCAGAGGTTGAATTATACTAATTACTCTTCATGTCAGTCAGATCTCCG